GTGGCTATGGAAGCAGGAGGCGCTCGAGAAGTCCACGGGACAGGAGTCGTTACTAAAAACGGATGATTTAAGAGCTGTATTTCTCATTAATTGTTCTTTGTAGCTAGCCCGTTGGGTGCTCGGCAGAAGAGCTAAAAAAATTTATGAAGGAGGTGGTTTCTTATTAAGTACACTGAGACGTTTTTTTTTGAGATGTGTTTTTACATCTTATTGTTTTCAGTGGCCACTAACTCAGAGGCTCTAGCTACAAAATCCATGTTTGCTTACAATTTCGTTTGTTTTTGTTTCTCTTTTGCATTTGTCTGGAACAAACTTTCGATGAGTTCTCCGGCGTGTAAAGTTGTTTGAGTACGTTTTGATTTTGTCATATTGTCTGACCGATCATTAGATTCTCAATAAATGTTTCCTGGCCTTCCGTTTGCACTTTTTGCTTCATAACCAGGGTGCAGAGTTTCTTTTAATAAGGCTATGGGGGAAATGTTACAGTTTGGAAGAACATTTTGCCGCTGCTGCTCTTGATTTTCGGTTATTAATTGGTTTTTTCGGCTTTTTCGACTAATAGGAGCAATCGGTTTTTGGAGTTTTGGGTTGAGGTCGACGACAAATTGGGAAGTGAGATTTTGGTGCGAGGCGCAAGTTGTGGCGATCGGGTTTTTAAAATACCTCTGGCGGATAGTGCGGTAGCAAGCTTTCTCTGTTTTTTGTTTGTGTAATCGGAGTATATTTTTGAGGTTTAGGATTACCTATACGGCAAATTTACTGTAAACTAATTGAGAACTTATTTTATTTTTTTGGTTTTGGTTGTATCCTTATTCCGCTGCGTCACAAGAACAACTTTTTTCAGTAACTTGGTGGTGAGTTGGATGACTTGACAGCCATACACTTGTCTAGCAAACAGTTAATTTAGTTGACGGTTTCTCGTTTTTTTTTTACGTCAACTCATCACAACAGCTGTTGGAAGCGAGTTTTTCAGACCTAAAAGTTTCTTCCAAAGTAATTTGAAAAGGTATGTTATTCATATACAGTATTTTTTTCCATCAAAATTTCATAAAATTTTCAAAAACCAACTGGAAGCTAACAAATTTTTGAGTGAAGTTTCAAACTGCAGTAAGAAATTGAAGTAAAAGAACTGCTGAGGTCCTAGTGAATTACTTACCTATCTTTGACTTGTTTTCATGTCGAGAGTATGGCAACACAAATCCTTAGATTTCCTTTAAGAATGGTCCGAAAGTGACACCAAAAGAAATTACTGTTAAGGAGACGACCATAGAGGTCTTTCACTTGTAATGGGATTTTAAGCGGGAGTTGTGCCGTCTGGGAGGCTTGCTGGAGATGAGGGACTTTGAAGGATCATGAAGGGCGGTAGCTGTAGAAATGGTTCTCAGAAGAGCTCAACAAAGGAACACTTTTCAGAATTTTTTGTCATTTGTGTCTATTAGTTTAAGAACAGCATGACTAATTGAGGCGCTGAAGTGTAGCGAACACCCTTGGTCCTCAGTCAGCTTTCATATAATGTGCATTGCTAATAGGAAACGGACACAAAGTGAAACCTTGTTCAGCTCTAATGGTAGAAGATCTAGGTGTCACAGCTTCAAGTTGTCTACGGTTCATCACTGTTGCGGTAGTTTACTTTGACTTGATCTTACTTCTTTGTTGCTGGTACTACTGCAGTATACCCTAATGTAAAAGAACATTTTTGTGTTTAGTTACTCTACGCTGTTAATTAAACTCAATCGTACGCGGACATTGAAGACAGTATTTTGAGAAGCGCAGAAAAGCATGTGCCCAGAAAATGCCACTGTTCGAAATTGGTAAACGACAGATCCTGGATGCTTCACCTATCTTTCCATAAACCACCTTTTTCCTCTATTCCAAAAAATAGTAAATAAATAAATAAATTCAGTTATTTATTACGTGGTGTCACTTTACTCAAATGTCCTGATCTCATGTATGTGTCATGCGTCAGAACACTTATGGATAACCAATCTGCTTTCAAATTAATAGATTTTTAATTACCAGTATCTGCACACAGATCCAGCAGTAATATCAGGAAGAATAACGGTTCAAGAAGGTGTGGCGTGTTTAGAAAGGAAGGGGTCAATCGACGAGTTGAAGGAAACTACGAAATTCGACTTGTTGTTGAAGAGTGACACTGTCTGAATAATTCAAAAGTGGCTAAAAGCATTCGGTTAACTGCGATAGAAGATCTATTATTACTCGAAAAAGTAAATTCTTTGAGTTCAAATATAGTTTCGAGTTGTCAGAAGTGTAAGATTTTCTGCATCTCCTTGTTCTGTCCTTCCATCAATCAGATATGAGCTGAGAAGTTGTTGCGTTTCTTTCAATTCAGTGAAATTTGCCGTTCTCTTCAAAATAGCAAGAAACCACTTTCTTCTACGATTTTTTTGTTTTTAATGTCATTAATGGCTTGCTATGAAGGTGCAAACAATCAAAGGCTCTTGAAAAAAAATTTGCAAAGAACAAAGTGGCAAGAAGCTAAACAATTGCTTGGGCTTGTATACAAGGTAAATGGAGTAAAACTATGCGTTACATTGGTCATAACTGCAACACGCAGAAAGCTGTATCAATTTTTTTTAATTCTAGTAATCTACGACAAGTTGCGTGGAATTTGCTTCTTCAGCGAGCCTTCTTGATTTCTACTGCTAAAAACATAAGGATAAAGGAAATGTTTTTTTCCGTATCTACAACAACTGAACAAAAACGGACATTTGCTTTTAAAACTACGACGTTTTTTAGCTTTTTTCTCTACAAATGGTCTTTCAGAGTGCACAATCTTAATTTTTAAAAATTGGAATAATTTAGAAACTTGAGGAGAAATTCAGTATTGAAGGCATTTGATACTTTGGTCGGTTAAGTGGTTCGAAACAGATCTTGAGCTCTGTGCCATCGATGAAACAACGGTTTGTCGCCTAAGTGTGAAACACCAGCAGAGACCATTACTCTCAATGATGCAATATGCGGTACATAGTGTTGGTCGATTACAGTTGAGCAGTCCAGATAGATCACGCAAATCAAAGTCATAAAGTTCTTAAACTTCAAAAGTAGTGCTCAGTGCAGCCTGGTAGATCTGGCGCTAAACATCTGACGATTTATATGCATTCTGTGGAGTATCTATCGTAACTCCAAGACTTGAAGACATTTCTTTTCCTTTTAACCAATAAATATTTAATGAGAGATTTGACGGTTTTAAAGTAAGGTTATTAAGACTCGACTAGAACCGCATTGGGAATGTGAAAAAGTTTAAGCTTTCAGTTATCTTGTATATATCTCACAAGCTAAAAAGAAGTGTTGTATGACTGAGTTCAAAATTTTATCGTGTTGACTGCATTTTAACCCACAAGTTAAGTGAAGTCTCAAGGAGCTCAATGTTTCAAAACTGTTGACATATCATTAGTAAATTAACAGTCCAGTGAATTGTATTCAAAATTTAAACATCTGATAATTGAACAGAAAGATTTCAAGAGAAAAGACAAGGAACTA